GGACCAACTAATAAATCCCCCACACTTGCTATTATAAACTAAATATAAAGTACAACAGCAAGAATTAATTAAGGTATTTTTGAAAATTCAGCTTCTCATATTTAATAATCATATGAAATGCATATATATAGCTGATTTGCTTGTAGTCTTTAAAGTCTACTAATATACGAAAAATATGAAATTTTGTCGATTGTTATAGCAAAAATACATTTTCTTAGTCGACAATCCTACCAAAGAATGTGATATGGCAAAGGTCTAGCCTTCCTTAAAATTCACATCTGCCCTGTGACCCAAGGGCACTCGTGTCCGGGTAGTTAACGCTTCAAGCTGACGTGCTGCACTGTCATGGTTCGACTCCCGCTGGGGTGTTGAGAAAACCTGCGCGAAGTGGAGACTGCAGTCCATTACAGCCGGGATGAGAATAACTTTTGGCAAAGCAAGGCTCTGTGAAATTTAATGTAAACATCAGCTCTACTCATCACATTGTGAGAGAATTCTACTACCCGTCCTTCATCATCTTAAGCTAATTAGTGTAAATACATCTTATACTACTGATAGTCACAAAACTCTACTTATAGAAGAAAAAATAATAATCATACTCAAGTGGTTATAAATCAGGGGCTCACCTGCTCCGTTACAAGCAAAAGAATGCGCTCAAACAGTTGGTTTCCGTAAAGTGATGTGATGGCCATGTAGACGAAGATGCCATCAAGCACAGCAACTGGAATGTAGCTTAGTGGATATGCTAAAGCATATAGGGAAAAACCAATCATCATGTGAGAGAAGATGACAGCCAGCCGCGTCTCATAAACACGAACGATACTGATTCAAAAAATAGTTGGCTATAAGTTATTCGATCTTTTAAAGTGCAGCTTCAAATAATTTATTTATAAAAATTTGATGCCCCTTTTGCTACTGTCTGCTACAAAACTAAAAACGAGTTTATACACCCGTTAATAAAAACCCGGGTCCATTCGCTGTGTGAAATATGCAGTCACTATGGGTAAGATATTATCTTCTTCTTATAGATTTTGTACAACAAAAACTTTTAAAAATGCTGAGTTTTGACGATTTGATTCTAATCATTTGGATACAAACTTTTAGTAGATAAACAAAATTATTCATAGCAGCTCAATCAAATCAAATACTTATTTCAAAATAAGCAAGAAGTGTTAGAGAAGCGAAAGGGTTTCGAGAAGTTGTTATCCGGAAAAGGTGCAAATAAATCAAGTCTATACAATTTTTAAACAAAAGCAAAAGACCCACTGTGCGATTCTAATTTAGAATGAGGCTTAAACTAATTAGCAAGGTGTTAATGATTGTCATGTTCCGGCCCCATTAAAATAAGAGGAAATAGAGATATTACTTATGTATGTGATTTGCATGTGACAAACAAGATAAACTCTTTGTTTCGTTTGTAAGTAGATTTCGACACTACCAGTGGTTTATTTATATATGAAATGTATTCACTCTGTCTCGCTTAAGGTGATAAGGAGAATGGTAGTTGAATTATTTCCAACAGTGCTATGAGTAGTCCTTACATTTATATTACATTTCATATAGCCTTTCTTTTCCAAAAGTTATCGTCATCCAAAGTGGGCTACTGGTGGCCTCGAAACCCACTCATAAACTGAACATAAGTAATTTAGTCGATTGCTATAGCAAGTTCAATTTTGTTTCATCGACGACCCCACCACAAAATTTGATGTGGAAAAATTACTGGCCTTTCTTGAAAGTCACATCTGCCCTGTGATCCAAAGGATACTTCCGGCGACGTGGCATAATGGCAATGTGTCGAGTTATATACTGCACTTTCATAATTCGAGTCCCACGGGGGGTGTTTATATGACCTAGACTAGGTCTAAACTGCAGTCCATCCTGGATGAGAATACCTTTCGAGAAGCAAGCCATGTGAAATTCAATAGAAATGTGGGGTCTATTCATATAATTGTGGGAAACATTTAACTACCAGTCCCTCTCTTACTCTGAACAAAGTAGGATGAATATACTTCAAAGATAAATCTCGCTTTTCCGACTATATATGAATAATAATACATAAGATATTTGTCCGATCAATCATTTTCGTGAACACTCGTTGAGAGTTCTAAAAGAAACTTGGGTAGCAACATGATAATTATATTTATATGATAAACTATATTCAAGTATGTCAGTATGATATGTATTAACTTTGATTAAACTTATTACCATCAGAAAAAACTTTTATTCCTACAATGGACTGAAGAAGGACGTCTCTATTTTTTATTAAAAGCAGGTTTTCTAGGCTATCAGTAAATCGTATTTATGAAATATATTCATCCTATTCCGTTAAGGTGATGAAGGACTGCTAGTTTACTTTCCAACAATCATATGATAGACCTTATGCTTCCATTGAATGCCGCGTGGTATTGCCTCTCTAATGGTATTCTTATCCCGGCTGGAGTGGACTGCAGTTTCGACCCCGCCCTGGTCCCATCGCAATTCCACCGGGACTGGAACCCAGTTCGTGGTAGGGCGGCGTATAATCTCGATACGTTAACTCCTATGCAAATCTGTCACGGGCAGATCTGACCCAATAGCATGCTAAGACCTCATACCGATTTTATTGCGTAATAATCACCGATCTATGCTTCTGTTAATTAAACTTACCTAAAGCGAGCCGGATTCGATTGTGTTATCTACTTAATCAGATAAGCTAGATAAGGTGGTCTAATGGGATTTCTCTCTACGCTTTGTTTGATTTCTTATGCTTAATTTCTTTTCCTAATTTTTTATAACCCCTTCATAAGCTGATATTTTATCCCTTTCAATCCTCTCATTTTGCAGGATCCGAAATTACGAAGTAGGGTGAATACGTCTCATATATGTGATCTACTGATGGTCTCGAAAACGAAAAAATAAGTTATCTAGTTGCTTCCTATAGCAAATTTAACTTTGATTCATTGACAATCCCACCACAGAATGCGATATGGGAAAATGCCTGGCCTTCCTTGAAATTCACATCTGGCCTGAGACCCAAGATCCCTCGTGACAATGTGGGGTGGTGTTTAGCGTGTCGGGATTATACACTGCACAACCACATGCCATGTTTAAGTCCCACTGGGCGTGCTCGAGGTCGGGACCCGAGCGAAGGTTAAACGGCAGTCAACTCCGGCCGAGATAAAAATACCTTTCGGGTAGCAATATTAAGTGAAATTCAATCGAAATGTAAGGTTTACTTCTATGATTGTGTGAAATTTAAACTATCATTCCTTCATAACCTTGAAGAAATAGGATGAATACATGTCTACATGTATTAATGGTTTATATCTTTTACACCACATTTAAGACATTTTTTAAAGCTCAGTAAAATCATTTTTGAAGAATGCCCTACCATATAGTTTGATAACTAAGCATAATTCTTTAAATATGTAAGTTCTCAAACCAAATTATTAATCCATGAAAATCAATCATTATATTTTATAACCACAATGCATTCGCAATAAGATAAATTGTATAAAAGTTAGATGGGTTTGATTCTTAACCTTAAACTCTTGGAGGCAAAGCTAGGTAAATTTCAATCGAAATGTGAGTCATATTCCTTTAAATGTGGGAAAATTCAAATAGCTGTATTAATTACATCATGAAAGCTCTTATTCAAGAACCACTGGTAGTTTCGACACCTATTTTATTATAATATAAATTGATAATGTATGATGGCATTTCATGGTGTGAAATCCAATCCGTAAAGTAATTAAATTAAACTCTATCCAGCCCAATCCGATATATTCAAAATGTTTTTTAAACCTGATATTGAATACACAATAAAGAATAGAGCATACAATTGGTTGCATTCAAGAGCAGATAATTTCAAAATAAATTTACGCTATTACCTTTTGATATAAATCTTTTTAATTATATGCTAATCCGTATTATAATGAGTAGTGAGATGCTTACTAGGAAATTCATTTAAGTATGGGTCAACTTGAGCCTGTATTCAGAGAAAATATTGAGTTCCCTATGGCGTAGTAACTGGTGAGTAAATTGCTTTTATGAGAAATCATTTAACATTATCAATTTTTCACTTAATAATTGCATACACATTTTAAAGACAACCTTATTGTTCTTGGTGCTCACTTCGGCTACAGTTAGTAGAAAGTATATACCACTATTAAAAATGAGAATATATTTTTATTGCCTCAAAATATGCTCATTTCGATTTTTTCATGATAAAGAGGTAATGTGGAACTTTTTTCTAAAGCCAAGGCTATATCTATGCAAAATTAAGTCTAGCCAAATGCACAAAACGTTGCTTTTTTGAAGCATTAGCTGCTGTGCAAGTATTACTAATCACACCAGAACAACCCTCTAATTATTTGCATATTCGTGCTTTTAAGTTGAACAAATAAAGACATATTGATAAAGTAAGATAGGGATTAACTTCGTAAATAAACGAAGAATATACCCCCTTCAAGTTACGGAGATAGATGCATGCTAAGTATAAATGTGCTTCAATAATCACTTCGTCGGTTTAGTTATGGATCTCAACATTAATGACAGTCACTATACATGCATATATATATATATATATATAT